TATATTTTTTATAAATATTTATACGGTAGAATATGCTGGATATATATTTTGTTCTGTATATATATTTTTCTATTTAGTTTTATAGGCAACATACATAAATCCATATTTTAACATTAATGTTATCATTATCATTAATGTTAACTTCTAAGAACAAAACTTTCATCATATTATATTGGAAAAGTAACACTTGCATGACATGACTACATATTGGAAACCAAGTAATAAGAAAATAGCATATATATGTTTACTTTGTGATGCCAATAACACCGCAAGCAAGACGAGCACCAGCATTGCCAGTAGTTTTTGATAACTCATGACCACCCTGGCCCAAATCATCAGGATCAGCATGAACCTGAAATATGAGAAAAATAAATAAGTTTTTAATAATGTATGAAATAAATACAAAAAGAAACAAAAATAAATTATTTCAACTCTTTAACCATATGATTTTACAATCAAATATGAATTATATATATATGTGCAGATGTCTTTGATAAAATCAGCATTTTAATTTTAACACACTAATATACTTAGGTATATAACATATAAATATAAATATACTTAAAATATACTAAATATATAACGTCTCTTATAACATATTTTTGAAAATATACAAATTATATTAACTTTTAAAGCCATTACTAATCTTAAAGAGTAAGAATCTCATTAAAATGAATTATGGATTAAAATCTGATAAAGGACAAATTAAACGAGACTTGTAAATCTAATATATATCTTAGACTTATATATCTAATATACCACAAGAGTTCGTCCGATGACACTATGCGCTCCACTGAGCTGAATCATAGCATCGGTGATATTAACTTTTGCAACACCATCAGTACCAGCTTCCACGTTTCCTAAATCTCCAACATGACGCACACTGTCATTTGGACCACCATGATCTTTTCCTAGCGGATTGAAATGAGCACCTGCACTCGTGCAACCTGTAAAAATAGAAAAGATAAAGATCTGCTTAAGATTTTTAATTTATTCTTAAAAATAGTACAATAAAAAAATAGTTTTAATTTACGCCATTTTTTTAAATTTCTAATTATACATTCATTCACACAAGAAGTAGACTTTTTTTCTATTCAAAGAGAGACAAGAATATTTTAATATACAATATATATAAATTGTTAAAATAAAATATTTAAATATTCAATTATCACTTAAATAAACAATTAAAAATACTGATCTCTTGGAAAATACTGAACAAATTAAATTTGAGTAATGTACGATATAATATTTTCATTACTCAATATTATAAATAAAAGTTAACTTCAGGTCAAAGTTTTTTAAATGATTAAATAAATGTATTTTAAAACGGCAGTAAAAATTTGGAAATTATAATAAGAAAAATATCAAAAAAAGTTAGCTTGAAACTTAGGCTCCTGCTGATTCATTGCAGCCATCTTAGATGATGACATAAAAATAGATTGTGACATAAAAAATGAGAAAAATAATATATAAAGAAAATTCTTAAAAACACTAAATTAAAATATATTTTTAAATAAAACAACATTTACTATAGATAGAATAGATTTGTAAAATATACTGAAATCTTCCAATCTTCTTGTATTACGATAATCTATAAATAACCATATATTATTGAAATTAAATTACATTTACTCAGATAACGATATAACAAGCTACATATGACAGCTGTCGAATTGATATAAATATGACTTTATTCTATTACGAATTATGAGGAGTTTTCAGTTGATTTTACGAGTGTACTCTAATCAAATGCAAACATTGTTTTATTGAAAAATATTTCCATTTTGATATCTACTTTTTGCAAAAATTTTCAATATATATTTTCTCATTTCTGATATCATCTATCTAAACATCCATAGTGATTCAGAAGATAAAAACTTGCAACTAAAAAGAAATACTACACAAGAAATAAACAAATACTAAGACATCATATATGTCCACTGTTCTCTGGCTCCTGCGGCAAGTAAATAGATATTTGCTTTTCTTAGCTGAGACCATTCTTCAGAGCTATATCAGATATTCTTTCTTAACTAACTCGTTATCAACTTTATCAAAGTCACAAATAAGACAAGTTTGATAAAAACGATACAATTTCAAACTTTTATAAATTCTGGGAAATTTTATCATAATTTTGAATGACAAACCAACAAATTTTTGTTGAGAAAAATTACAGATTCAAAGACATGTAAATTATATATTTTAATTTCTACATTTCCTTTTTTTTGGCTACTGAACATTTAAAGATAAATTTAAGGAAGCCTTAAATATAAGGTTTGACTATAAATATAGACATTAATGTCTGACTTATGTTATATACAAATAATACAGAAATTTGACCAGTTTGACTAACCAGCAAATCTATTGCGAAATTATTAAGAAAAATTACAAATTCAGAGATGTATAAATTAGATTTCAAATTAATTTTAAATTACGTAATATCTCAGAGATGCCATGTAACATTTGAACATTCTTATCAAATCTGACTCAAATATACCATTGGTGTTGTCGCCAAATTCATGAACGTGAAAACCATGCAGGCCTTTCTGCAAGCCGGAAACTTGTCCAGATACCTTGACCGTATTTGAATCTTCCTATAATGCAAATTGAGCTTTTATTCTAGTAAGAAGAAAAATGCAAGTAAATATTTTCAGAAATCAAAGTATTATTAATAACTATTAAATTGCATAAAATAAAATTTCCTATCCAGAAGAAATGATGTTCTGACAAATTAAAAAATATCATGAAATAATTCAGGCATTATCAATTAAATAAAAAATATAGGATGTATTAGGATAAACAAAAAATACGATCGTATCATATCATGTAATACATAAAAAAAAAATTTTCATTTTTTTAAGTTTGCAGTTTAAGCAGTTAAGACATTAGCAAATATCTTTTGAAAAAATATAGCGAGATTGAGCTAAAAATTTTCATGAAATTGCCACGCTTATGCAGTGAAGAGATGAAGGAAAATTAGAAAAGAACAGAATTTACCGTTTGTTCAAAATACACGGTCCCTTTAACAGGCTCTCCCTGCAGGACACAGACCGCCTTGATCGTCATTATATCACAAATGTATTCTTAACTATCTATTTAAGCTTGTCCGAATGAATTGTTAACAACGTTGACGACAAACTGCACGATAACTCACGATTTACACGGGAATTAAATAATCAAACTGCTGAATCACGTCGGCTGATACGTAAAACTTGGCGAATTTAAAATGATAACATGGCCGACAAATTCGCCTGATCACTGATCATATGCGTTTTGATCGGGCGTAATTGATGGAAAAGGGGTGATAGGAGTAAATTTTATCCTTATAACCGATTTTTCACCAATCAGTGCTCGATGTCAAAGTATTTCGGTGTCAGTAGGCTTGTTCTTTTTAGTTAAATTTTTGCACCAGTTCATCTTTCTTCCTCTTCATTCCTTCTGGAAAGAAAAGGAAGAAAGATGAACTGGTGTAAAAGTTCAGCTAAAAAGAACAGACTTAATAGGTCTGTTTTTACTGCTACATTCTGAATTGATGCAATAAGTTGAAGTGACAATATACATTTATTTCACTTCAAGTCTTAGGTCTCAAACTGTGTATTCCACAATACATGATTTCTGACAGGTTGAAATTCTTATTCTCTGTTCTCTGTTCCCTGTTCCTTTTATTATGCGGAGTCCCTTATTGGTTAAGAGTGTAACAATAAAAACCAGACCTAATAGTTGTTTGGCTGTCAAAGTCTTATTACAAAGACTTAGAAGTGTTTGGTTGACCAATTAGAAAAAAAAATTTTACAAATTGATCAATTGAAAAGTGCTTTAAAGTATTTGTAGCATCACATTGACCATCCTTTTACTCATATTATTCATAATCAGGCCTCATATTTAAGGCTTCTTTAAATTTATCTTTAGATACTCTACGAATTATTTCATTGGTTGTTGAGCATCTAAAGATAAATATAAGAAAGCCTTATGACTCCTGTACACTGGACGCTTGCCGCGTGGCAAAATGAAACGCGTAACCAATGAACACATTAGGAGCTGTGAGCTTATTGATTACCGCATCACATTTTGCCGCGCGGCAAACGTTTCCGCATCCAGTGTACAGAAGCCATTAAGTACAAGGTCTGATTATAAATACAGGCATTTGTTCTGTCTCTCGGGAGCTGCTCGGGATCGCTCCGAATGAACCTAACATACTTGAAATGTAATAGCGTTTTTCACTGGCAGACCTGATGCGCACTTTGAAGCCGTTGTACACAAATCAATATAAAGATGTATGTTTAATAAAAATATAGATAGAAACGAATTAAATCATGAAATCTTTAATACATTTTATTGTGCTATTTGATAAAATACGTTGGGTATTTTATTAATTGAAATCTCTCACTTTTACAGTCATACTAAGTTAATGTACAACAGCTTTAATGTGTACTAAATGCGTACTAATTCTGCCAGTGAAAAACGCTGTAAGATTCATACTATGTACGACATCCGTCATACGACAATTTATCATTAACCATGAATGTCAGATATCGTATGACGGATACGTCATACGTAGTGTGAATCCTATATGTCAAATACGATGAATTCATTCGGAACAATTCCGAGCAGCTCCCGAGAGCTGCAAAATGAACATTGCTAAAATCTGCATGAGGATTTATACTCATATTCATAGTCAGGCCTTATACTTAAGGCTTCCTTAAATTTATCTTTAAATATTCTAAGAATTATTTCATTGGCTGCTGAGTACCTAAAGATAAATTTAAGGAAGCCTTATGCATTTACCTTATACTTAATTAAGGAAATCGACCAATAGTTAAATGTGAGAAAAATAATCAACTATGATTGATCGATTTCTACACCTACTCCTTAATTCACTACTGCTACTGCCCATTGTAGACCATGTATTAAGTATAAGGTCTGATTATGAATATGAGCAACAGGGCTTTGGGTACGGTCAATGCTGCAAACGCTGTGAAGCGTTTTTTAACTGATCAGTTGGTAAAATTCTTTTTTCTAATTGGTCCATCAAATGCTTCAAAGTATTTGTAGACTTTTATTCATAGTTAGGCGTTATATTTAAGGCTTCCTTAAATTTATCTTTAGATACTCTACGAATTATTTCAATGGCTGCTGACATCTACAGATAAATTTAAGGAAGCCTTAAGTACAAACTCTGACTATGAATACGAGCATTTAACCACATACTTTGAAACATTCGTAGCGGCAACTCGACTGTAGCAGAGAGAAACCTGAGAGGAGCCATGACTTTTTGCGTGACAGGCGAAAGTACGCTAGCAGCTCCAACATCAATTTTATAAATGATATTAGTGCCGATGTGAACTACGTATCACATTTTCGCCACTGTCGATAAAATCATAGTGTCGATAAAGCGATTTGGTCCTACATTCACAAATAGTGAATAAAGATAATACTAATTTACAAAAATATGTTTCTTTTAATCAGATAAGGTTTATGGGTGCTGAAAACGATGCTGCAAGTTAAATTTCACTAGTATGTCAGGTTTTCGAAATAACTGAGATTTAATGGATGGATAAAAATGGCTCTTTTGTTATATTTAAAATGTTCTTGTAAAAAAAGATTAACGTTACCTCGAAATTGTAATCAGAAGTCATGAATGTTAATAAATTCTGTACAAAATGCATGCTTTTTATCTCAATGTCTTACTTTTTAGTCATGTTATGAAGGATTCAGAGTTTTCTAAGATAGTAAATTATCCGCCTTTAACAATGAAATCATTATACTTATAATTTCTAGTTTTGACTACTATCGATACACACAATGTAATTTATCAATATAGATTCCGCTAAGTGTCCCGCGTACAGGATGTCCCGCGAGACTTTTCCTATCGCCTACAAGAAGGTAGATGAGATCGAAATAATTAACATTAAAGTTCTTTATCGTTTATATTTGTAATAATAATCGAGATCTTAATGTTTGCAATTATACCACTTTTTCAAACATAAGCTGCGCAGGCAACACATTGGAGAGGTAAGAGGAAGCGCGCCGTTGCTTAGCGCCGGCATCACCGCTCTCATCGTATCGCACCAAAAGATTCGCGTTTATGGCCGCTGCACACATTCGCGATTACATGTATAACACTGCAAAAATAGGATTATAATAGAAATTATAATAGAAATTATAATACAAATTATAGTAAACTTCGATGAATAAAAATGTCGAAAAAGAGAAACCAATAAAATCTATGGAAAATTTAATTAATTTCTATCGTAATCTGTCACTTCTCTAAATCTCGAAAGGAAAAAAATTTTAAGAAAAAGATATCCGAAAGCAATAATATCATTCTCCATCATTCTCTATCGTTTTCTATTAGGAGAGTATGATTTCATTGGAATACAATAAAATATCAATAAAGATGTAATGTTTGTAAGTTTTGTTGGAATCTCTCTTTCTATGTATACTTCAAAAATCACTGAAAATCTGCCGTAATTAATAGTGTATTTACAGTAGTAGAAATTCTAAGCTCATTATCGAATAATTACCAAAAAAGTTCTTTGTTATTAAAAATATTTGATATAGCATTGTGCTCTCGATATATAATTATCAGGTGTATAAGCTTAAATCCGCTGTTTGCTCATAGGCGGCATTAGTAAGCGTACAAAGCTACCTTAGGGAACACACTTTTTTCTATGTATTTGACATCTGTCAATATTAACCAATGCACATCATCAGCAATTTCATACAACAATACATTCTTTCTTTCATGTCTAGTTTTTCGCTAAAAAAAAAGCATATGTGGGAAGCTTTGCTTTTCTGTTTCAATTTGAAGAAATCGGCTGCCGAATCGCATCGAATGCTTGTAGAGGCCTATGGCGACAATGCTTTATCAGAAACAACGTGCAGAGATTAGTCGGTTCAATGACGATAATTTTGACCTGAGTGACAAGAAGCGTATGAAATCGGCTCAGGAAGGTTGAAGACTGTCAATTGCAGGCTCTTTTAGACAAGAACGATAAACAATCGCAAAAAATGCTTGCCGAGTAATTGGGTGTTTTTCAAGCAGCCATTTCCATGTGGATGGGGAAGATTCAAAAGATCAGAAAATGGGTATCGCATGAACGATAGGTAGATGGAGCAACGCCAAAACACATGCCAAATTCTACTTGCCAGACAAAAAAGAAAGTTGTTCCTATATCGGATTGTGACAAGCGATGAAAAGTAGATCTATTTTCAGAATCCTAAACGCAAGAAATCTTGGGTTGATCCCGCCTAACTATCAACATCTTCCTCAAGACCAAATCGCTTTGGACGGAAGACGATGCTGTGCGTTTGGTGGGATCAGGAGGGTATCATCTAGTACGAGCTGTTAAAACGAGCTGTTGGTGAAACTGTTAATGCTCACCGCTACCACAACAACTGATCAAATTGCACCGTGCTCTGCGTGAAAAAAGATCGCATTATCGGAAAAGATATGACAAACTGATTTTCCTCCACGACAACGCACCATCGCACACGTCAACAATGATCCAAAACTACTTGGAGACACTCAACTGGGAAGTGCTACCCCATCCGGACCTGGCACCTTCTGACTATCACCTGTTTTCGTCGATGGACCACGCTGAGCGGTTGGCCTTCGATTCTTACGAAGACATCCGAAAATGGCTTGATGAGTGGTTTGCTTCGAAAGATGAGGAATTTTTTTTGGCGTGGTATACACAAATTGCCCGAAAGATGGGAAAAATGTATAATTAGCGAGGGCACTTTGAATAAATTAAATACTTTGAATAAATGTGCTTCCTAGAAAAAAAAAGTGTTTTTCTGGCTAAAAAATAGCGGATTTAAGCTTATACACCTAATTATCGTAGGCGGTTTATCGTAATCTATTATAAAATCGGAGAAGAGTATATGTTTTTCTATCATATTATTACAAAAAGCTTAAATTTGTATACTTTTTCAACAAAGCTGTTAAAATTCTTTAATATGTTCATACATTTTGATTCAGCGAGAATTATTTTCAGATGTATATGTAACTAAATTTTTGAATACTTTATTACAACTTTTTTTTTTCTGGAATATTAATTTATTCGCTGTTAATTTTCTTCAATCAAGATAATTATATAGAACGTTCAAACATAATAATAATGTTGTAAGAAGTTTTAATATTCAACGTATCAGACACCTTAAAACTGCAACCGCTGTTGACTTCACTATCAGAATTGGCAAGTATTGATCGAAGATATCTCGGATCATTGCTTGCAATAATATAGTATATCGATTTTGACATTCAATTTTTTTAGAGCATTACCATTGAAAATATCTTCTTTCCCAATTGCTTTATATACGATTGTGTAGAATCCTTTGATACCAATATAATGTTATTGATAAATGTTCTTAACATATCGTTGATTCTCTGCTGCGTGCGTGCGCGCGCGC